GGTCCCTGACTCTTTAAGCAGGAAACACTAGATGGCAGTAGAGCAGGAGCTGTAGTGAGAACATCTGCTGTGGTTGGTGCAGATGTTAGTTTGTTTATCTGACTGATTGGACATCTGCTGGGTGAGAGAGAGAGAGAGAGAGAGAGCACAGCTGTTTGGATCCTCCTCACTAGTTTCACTCTGTTCAAATGTCTTATTGTGAAAAAAAAACTGACGTCAGGTGCAGTTCCTCTGCCTGACACTAGGTTAAAAATGTCACTACATTTGTGGATGCGTTCAAATCGGCGTCCATCTAAATGAATTGTCCACATTGAGCGGTGTCCAGATGTGTCCTCTGACCCCTGCTTTGGTTCTGTCCAGGCCACTGAGATCCCTGCAGAGCTGTGCCATGGAATCCAAGGTAGATTAAATCTTGATGACGACCCTATTCTACCAGAGAAGTAAGGACCGAGCGCCGAGCCCTTTCATTTCACCCCTGTCCCTGTGTCCGTCCTGCGGGGAGGACACAGGGACGGGCCCGGCAGCACGGCTGCTCCACGGACCTGGGACCTGCCGCCGTTCTGACCTCTGTCTCTGTCTGTCCCCCACAGTCCGGTCAGGTCGCCCATCCCGGTGCTGAGGGACATCTCCAACAACAACTCAGTGGGGTGAGAAGCACAGACGGTCTGTCATCAGAACACTGACCAGCAGTGAGACGGTGAAGACACTGACCGTGTTGTTTCTCCTCTTCTCCAGGGTGAAGTTCAAAGACCCGCTCTATGAGGACGACTTTGTGTTCAAAGCAGTTCTTCTGCCTGGAGCCAAGTGAGACACCAGAACGTCCTCCTGTCCACGCTGTCTAGATCTACATGATGGTTCTAGATCTGTCTAGATCTACATGATGGTTCTAGATCTGTCTAGATCTACATGATGGTTCTAGATCTGTCTAGATCTACATGATGGTTCTAGATCTGTCTAGATCTACATGATGGTTCTAGATCTGTCTAGATCTACATGATGGTTCTAGATCTGTCTAGATCTACATGATGGTTCTAGATCTGTCTAGATCTACATGATGGTTCTAGATGATGGTTCTAGATCTGACATGATGGTTCTAGATCTGTCTAGATCTACATGATGGTTCTAGATCTGTCTAGATCTACATGATGGTTCTAGATCTGTCTAGATCTATATAGGTTATAAGTTAGAGTCTGACTCAGTTCATCTCTGACTGCTCTGTGAAGACGTCGTCACAGGACACACACAGAGACAGAGACACAGAGACAGAGACACAGCTCTCTTCACACTCTGTCTTTGTCTCCTGTGAACCCACAGTGTCAGCTCCACAGCTGAGTGTGGACACAGCAGCAGGAGGAGGAGGAGGAGGAGGAGGAGGAGGAGGTGTAGAGGAGCTAGAACTGTGAAGGACAGCACTGCCTCCACATAGAGTAGTACCGATATTAACCACCAGGGGCAGAACCCTGAGCCACAGCTGAACTGTCAGTAGACCAGAGACAGCAGAGCTGTAGGAGTGATGATGTCATAGACCTGGCTGCAGGTCATGTGACCTGTGTTTAACCAGTGTAAAAGGACAGTCTGATCACAGAGGAGGTGGGAGGAGCAGAGGAGGTGGGAGGAGCAGAGGAGGTGGGAGGAGTTCAGAACAGTTGTCAGTGGACCCACAGTCAGCCTGTTGGAGGAGCAGTGTATTACACTGGTCCAGACCAGCTGTGACCAGCTGTGACCAGCAGTGACCAGCAGTGACCAGCAGTGACCAGCTGTGACCAGCTGTCCTGGTTTTATAACAAAAACATTCAATGTTTTCTTTTCCTTTTTATTGTTTTATATGATCAATATATTTGTTTACATCTGTTTTAGATGTTTAGACGGGGGGGAGGATTTAATGAATTAAATATATATGTCCCAGACATGTATATGATGTCCAGAGAAGTCCTTGAGCCGACCTGCGGTGTGTGTGTGTGTGTGTGTGTGTGTTCTTCCAGGATTCCCAGTAAAGTCCTGAAACCAGACGACTGGGTCAGAGGGAACAGAGAACCCTGGAAACCTCAGCTGGGCTTCAACGCCAACAGACAGCAGGTCCATCTGGACCAGTCGGCCTTCAGGGCTCTGGGGTGAGTTCATGACCTCTGCTGGCACTGTGGGGTACTGCACCACCACAACACAAATACTCCACTCTCCTGTGGTGAGGTTTTTTTCACAACTGAAAACCAGAATATTTTGCAGTAGAATCACAGTAATACACAGTCCTCACCGTGCACACAAACCAGACTGTGTGTGTGTGTGTGTGTTCTGAACAAACACTAAAACCTAATTTTTCCAGAATCAGCAGTCTTTGTCTGATCAGCACACACACACACACACACACGTTTTAGATGTTTAGACGGGGGGGAGGATTTAATGAATTAAATATATATGTCCCAGACATGTATATGATGTCCAGAGAAGTCCTTGAGCCGACCTGCGGTGTGTGTGTGTGTGTGTGTGTGTGTTCTTCCAGGATTCCCAGTAAAGTCCTGAAACCAGACGACTGGGTCAGAGGGAACAGAGAACCCTGGAAACCTCAGCTGGGCTTCAACGCCAACAGACAGCAGGTCCATCTGGACCAGTCGGCCTTCAGGGCTCTGGGGTGAGTTCATGACCTCTGCTGGCACTGTGGGGTACTGCACCACCACAACACAAATACTCCACTCTCCTGTGGTGAGGTTTTTTTCACAACTGAAAACCAGAATATTTTGCAGTAGAATCACAGTAATACACAGTCCTCACCGTGCACACAAACCAGACTGTGTGTGTGTGTGTGTGTTTGTGTGTGTGTTCTGAACAAACACTAAAACCTAATTTTTCCAGAATCAGCAGTCTTTGTCTGATCAGCACACACACACACACACACATGCTGATTGTGGTCCCGGCTCTTCTCCTCCACACGTTGATATTATCATTAAGGAAATGGGAATAATTGAACATCTGGCTCCGTCCTCTGGGCCTTCATTATCCAGGGTCTGGAGGGGAAAAACAAAACCACTTTTTCTCAGTTCTTTTGAAATTTCCTGATGAACACAGTTAAATCAGGAGGTCATGTGACTCAGTGGAGGGGGAGGGGAGGGGGGGGGGGGGGAGGCAGCTGCTCCAAGGAGGGGGGGGGGGAG